AAAAAGGAACAAGAGCAAAGGCATGTATATTTATATTTCAATATTTTCCTAGTCACAGTGCAGTTAAATTAACAAAAAAAGACATAAAGACTAAAATGCAATGATGGTAGATCTTTTAGAAACAAGTATATAGCTAGTGGCATTGAAAAATAGTTTTTCAGAACAGTAATCTCACATTATATATAAAAAAGGCTGTTCAAGTTCTTTCTGATTCAGTAATCCCATTTTAGAAATATACCCCCCCCAAAAAAAAAAAAAACTTATTATTAAAATTAATTTCACCTGCTTCTTTTTACATTTTTGAATGTGGCTACTAGAAAATTTAAAATTACGTATGTAGCTGATATTTGTACCTTACATTGTAAGTATGTACTTTCATATACTAATGGTCAGCTCTAGTACAGAGAGACATTCCTGAATTCTGCTGAGAAAAGTCATTTTGGGTTTATAGAACCAAGATAGGTAATTTATAAAGTTTACATCCATTGAATTATGTCTATATTTATGATTCTATATAAAGTAGAAACATAATAATTTATCAAGGTATTTTTTTAGACTAATATTTCAAATGCTAAGAATATAATTACCTCCCATAAAGAGCTCTGGTGGCATAGTGCCTAAGGCATCTGACTGCTAACCCACCAGCCACTCCTCGGAAGGAAGGTTGGGCAACCTACTTCCATAGTGATACCGTCTTGGAAATCCAAGGAGGGGTCGCTATGAGGTCCAACTCCATGGCAGTGAGTTTGGTTTTGTTTTCCCATGAAGTACATAACTGACAAGCAGAGATGAATAAAACCCCCTGAAATGAAAATGCTAGGTGGTCAGCAAGGCTCCTCATCAGGTCTTACATATCTTGGTAGCATAATTAAAATTTAACCTTCAGTACAAAATAACAAATGACCACATGTTCTGGACCTTCAGGACTAGCTAACAGAGATACTCACCAAGAATTAGGAAAAGGTCAATAAACAGGCAAGGGCAGTATGTACGGTGACTACTGGAATCACATAATTTATTTGTTTTGTTGTTGTTCTACAAAAAGTACCACAACTTTCAAAATATCTGCCACATGAGCAAAAATAAAAATCACATGATAGGAAGTTAGATCTAAAGTCATTCTTTAACTAGCAAAAGAAAGAACTCTACCTAATACCTGAGAATGCATTCATTTTACTTGGATTGTTCAGAGTAAGAATGCCAATGCCATTGTCTTTCTTCTGAAGGTCAATGCATCCACCAGTAAACTGCTTAAGTTTCTCTTTTACTTCTTCCTCATGGAAACCATGAGACGTATTATAAAGTGACAACCCATTCCAACGTAGCAATTTTGTCACTGAAGATTCACATGATGATTTCTTCAAAAGATGTGACACCATTTCTGAAAAAGAGCGATATATATGCAATAGTTCAGATGGGCATACACTCACATTTCTAATATTACATGTTAATGGGCTGTAGTGATGACTCAGTTCCATTGGGAGTACTTCCCTACCTCCAAAAAGCAGTCTCTCAGGAGATGCTACCGAATTCTTTTTCTTCCCCCACCCCACTTCTCAAACTAAATAATTTACAAAGTATACCATCTCATTGAGAGATGACAATATAATTACAGTGAATTTACTAGGATCCAATATACTAGGAAAGTTTAGAAAAATGTTACTGGTCTGCATTTAGTACTATCTCCTGCCTCCAGGTAGTCTTTCTCAACATAGCACTTATTTTTCTCCAACCCTTTAACTTTTCCAAAACCTAAGAATAAATTCAGTCTGAATGTTCCCTTGCAAACAGTCTCCACGCAGAAATATACAAGACCAATCCCACTCTGCAACAGAACTTTTATTTTTACATTCCGTGATAGCTTCATAGAAAAGGCAGGAAGGAGTCCTGAGGAAAATGGGGCAGGAAACAGGAATGTAAGTGCGGTTTTTGTGTTCCCCAGGGTTCTCTCACCCTTCTCTTCTAATTTCATATACCTATCCTGTGGAATCTTCTCTCTGCCCATAGGCTTTCTTCCCCCCATGTAAAGTTTTTGTTAATATGAAACATACATTCAGAAAAGTATACAAATGATAAGGTATAGCTCAATAAATTTTCACAAGGTGAGCATATTAAAGTAAATAACACCCAGATCAAGAAACAAAGTATTACCTGAGCCCCAGAAAGCCTCTTGCGCCACGCTTCAGTCACTAATTCTCAATTGCAGGTGATGACTATCTTGACTTCTAACACCTAACCTTAGTTTGCCTGCTTTTAAACTTTACGTAAATTGAATAACACAATAATTATTCTGTGTCTGGCTTCAACTTTATGTTTGTGACATCATTTAATGCCATTTCGTGTAATTATAGTCTGAAAAGTCCATTATTCTCTTTGCTATATTTTATTACGTGAATATAAACTGATTATATGAATATACCATAATTTATTCATTCTAATGTTAATACAAATTTAGGTTGTTTCCAGTTTTTGGCATTACAAATAATGCTGCTTGTTCTGGTTACCTAGTGCCGCTCTGACAGGAATATACCACCAATGGGATGGCCTTAAAAAGCAGGAGTTTATTCTCTTACAGTTTGGAGGCTTTGAGACCAAGTTCAAAGTGCCAGGCTCTAGGGGCTTGATAAAAGCCCCTCAACCTTGAGGTCCAGTTCTGCCTTTTGCTCCCGGCCCACTGAAGCTAGAGGTGTTTCTTCACTCAGACAGCTGCTGACTGCTGAGGATGAGAAGCCCAAGGTTGACAAGTAAAAAGGCACAGTCCTGATGTTACCAAACCACACTGCAGGCCATTAATTTTAATTCATTTTAAGTCCCAAGGTCAGGAGAGCATGGCAGGCTGCTGAACAATGACACGGCTACATGCAGAGTTCAAGATGCCATAAGCTCGAGACTATCCCCAAGGGTTCTCCCTATATACAGGAAGCAGACCACATCCCAAAGGCAGCTACTCAGCTGCTTGTGGTAGATCCCACCATGGAGCTGATTGCCAGTCTCATCATGGGGAATAACTACCACCAGCTGCCCAGCCACTCAAATAGGCCCAGCCAAGTTGACCTACACAAATTTAACTACCATACTGCTATAAACATTTTAGTACATTATCTTTTGGTCAACATGTATGCATTTGTTAGGCAGATACCTCAGAATGAAATTGTTCTGTTGGTGTGCTATAGCCCAGCCTATACTGACGACTGTTAAAACATTCAAGAATTTTGCAAGTCTGTTTTTCAAACTATTGGTAACTTAAAATTGACCACAATGAGAATATTAATACAAGGAAAAATGCTACACATCAAACTCTCTCTTTCTGACAGCTGGTTTATTACAATGTTATATTATTATATTATTTTAATAGTACACAACTAGTCAAAATACATACATTGATTCATTTGTTCAATTTCAGAAGACATGGCAAGTTTGGCAAAGTGCTTGTACTAATTTATATTCCTACTGACAGCGAGAGTTCCAGATGCTCCACAACTCTCTTATCACTTGGTACGGACTCCCTTGCCTCCATGCCCCGTATTTTAAGCATTATAGCAAGTGATATCTCATTGTGCTTGCACTTCACATATCTATGTTGTTGTTGTTGTTGTTATGTGCCGTGGAGTCGACCCCGACTCATATATCTATAGTATCCAGTAAATTAATCCCCCCTTTCAAACACCTATCAGTCATCTGGATATCCACCTTTGTGAAACACCTTCTTAAGTTTTGTATCCATTTTTTTTCTATTTGCTTACCTTCATTTATTTATTTATATAGTCCTCATGATCTGCCCACTCACGGATTAAGGTAAAACTTTTTAAAGTTTAAATTCTTAAATGTTTCAAAATTTGTCAAATGCAGCAAATGATCTAACAAATACTCATCTCTCTTCTATGATGGATGTTAACATTTTGTCTTATTTCCATCAGCTCTCTCTCTGTTTAAAGACTTTCTGTGAGAAACAGAAGGTGGGAGGACTTCAAAATTAAAAACCTTATTACTAATTAAACAGTATGAAATGATTATGGAAAAAGTCATGAGGGTTTTGGAAGCTTCCTAAACTATCACCAAATGTAAATACGAACTTGTCTCAAGATCTCTTAGTTAGCTAGTAGAAGAAACCTGAATTAAAATTTCACATTGCATTAGAGTTTAAAATGAAATGAGCTAACCACACCTATATGTTCATGACAAAGATGTATTTATTTTAAGTATGTTCCTAAGTCCCAGTCATATTCACGACCTTCCCATCCCAACCACCCGTCTTTCTTTTTGACCTCCCTTTTTACTCTCCCTAGACCCAAATTCACTGGTTAAGGCTTGTGGGTAAAAACAGGTAAACAGACAAAAGTACAATATTCAAATTGAGTTCTGAAGCCTCCTTGACTTTTATAAAGACAAATTTTAAGAAACACACATAACGATTAGATTAGCAATTAAAGTATTTTTAAAGCAGGATGGTATTCTTTGCTGTATCATTTAAAGCCAGTAATAGCTGCATTATGAATTTTTTTCCCCCAAAAAAAGGTTGAATAATTTCTTTGCATATAAACCACTAAGGGAACTACACTTACATGTAGGTTTTTATGGCTAAGAAATTCATAGCACAGGGTCCTACAGTACAGACACACATGCATACAGTAAGAGATTATGTAACAGACAACGCAAAGTCAGCATCTGTAGTTGATAATACAGATTTTACAACTCTGATTCGTAGTATTTCTCACACTTTAATTTTACTGAATTTTAATTTGACCAAAATCTCCCTCACAAGACTTTGGATATTATGAATTAGGGCTGGCCTGAAACATTCTCTGTAACTTTCTCACAATGTGAAGCAATTTGTCCATTAGGTACTAAGGTTAATATCTAGTAATTGTTTAGTGCAAACTTAAATGGGGCAACTCCAGACTTGACCTGATCTACCCTCCCCCCCTATATTGTTACCAACTCTTCCAGAGAAGCATACTGGTTTTGAACCAAAGATAAGTAATTCAGCCAAAATAAGATTGCTTTTTGTAGGAGGCAACAAAGTTAACCTAATTCCACTGGTAATGCCCATGTTGGACTCTCCTGGTTCTTTTCTTCCTCCTTTTCTTCTCTACCAGATTCTCTCTCTAACGAAGCTGGTGTGGTAAAAGGAACTTGGGGAAGAGTCAGCCTAAGAAGGTCAAGAATAGTGCTAAGGTTCTTACACCAGCTTCTAGTCTAGTCTATGTTCTCAAGGTCACTTAACCAGCTCAGTTCACACAGCTAACAAGCTCACATACACAAATCTAAACACAATGTGCCCATCAGTCTGCTTGTGTCTGGAATATGCTCTGTGCATGTTTTGCTTTTCAGAATGAAGCAAAGAGGAGACAACTCAAGGAGTTCAAAGTGAGGTTCAGATTTTCTTCACATTAACCAAGACTTTACAGCAGAAACTAGGTAAGGGCTTAAATGGCTATTAAATTTCTCTATATTTTACACTGATACTCTTTTTAGGGAAATGAATAAAGAGTTAAAATAGAAATTAAGAAGAAATAAAGCCTTAAAAAATTATTAGCATTTTGTGGTAGTTATGTTTGTATGTCAACTTGGCTGGGCCTAGTTGAGTGGCTGGGCAGCTGGTGGTAGTTATTCCCCATGAGTAGACTGACAATCAACTCCATGGTGGGATCTACCACAAGCAGCTAAGTAACTGCCTTTGGGATGTGGTCGGCTTCCTGTATATTAGGAGAAGCCTTTGGGATAGTCTCTAGCTTATGGCATACCTGGATCCTGCCTGTAGCTGTGTCATTGTTCAGCAGCCTGCCATGCTCTGCTCACCCTGGGACTTACAATGGACTTAAATTAATGGCCTGCAGTGTGGTTTGTTAACATCGGGACTGTGCCTTTTTACTTATCAGTCTTGGGCTTCTCATCCTCAGCAGTCAGCAGCTGTCTGAATGAAGAAAAGCGTCTAGCTTCAGTGGGCCGGGAGCTGGAGACAGAGCTGAAGCCCCAGGCTGAGGGGCTTTCATCCAGCCCCTAGAGCCTGACACTTTGAACTAGGACTTAAAGCCTCCAAATTGTAAGAGAATAAACTCCTGTTTATTAAGGCCATCACATTTGTGGCATATTCCTGTCAGAGCGGCACTAGGTAACCAGAACACATTTGTAATTATTACTGTGAGATAATACTCAATAAATAACAAATCTTCTGTTCTCATTGTAAGAGTTCTACTTGCTCTGTCTTGACACATTACCTCTGCCTTCAACAGCCAACACCACAAGGGCAATTAGTTTGGAGGCCACAGGCTCTATATCTTCTTATTCTTAAATCATTAAAAATATAAATACTTAACGAGGTTCCAGCAAGATGGCGGACTAGACATAAAGACTGCACACTCTTCAACAAAGAAAAGGGAA